ACGTTTTTAAGACAGAGAATATAAAAACATATATTTGGCGTGAACGCATTGTATGACGTAATTACAAGACTTAAATAACATACGTCAGAATAACAAAACAAATATGTAACATCTCCCGTTGGAGATTAAACAAATATAAAGTTAATAAAGTTTGCGTGAATGAACGTTTATTTGTCTAGCTATATCTAGACGGTTTTCGAACGACTCGACCAGATCTTGTGACGATTTCGTTTGGTGGTTCTGGAGAACTGGGTCGAGTTGTCACTTCTAGATCATCATAATCAAAGTCATTCCGGATCTGGAATCTGTCCTTACACGGGATAAGGTGGCGGGGGTTGCGTCTCACAATGTTTCCTTTGTCATTGAGGACACGATAGGACCTTGGCTCGGCACACTTCTCCACGACTTTACCAAGTTGATTCCATTTCTCATCTTCCTTCGCACGGATTCGAACAACAGTTCCTGGTTGGATATCAGGTAGATCTTTAGCGTGTTGATCATATCTTTCTTTTGTCTTCGCTCTGTTTGAATACACACGTTTTTAAGACAGAGAATATAAAAACCTATATTTGGCGCGAACGCATTGTATGACGTAATTACAAGACTTAAATAACATACGTCAGAATAACAAAACAAATATGTAACACTAAGTGACGGCCAAGTTGTGATATCTACATAAACATACTATGCAAGTACTTAACTGAAGGTTCAGTCTTTCTACAGCATAATGTAATGCTGTATATCCAAAAATCTGTTTCAGAAAATGCAGGGAATTGCAGTCATAGGGGTAGAAAAATACAAATATTTTATGGGGGAGAAAACCCCCCAGACCCTCTCCAGGGCCGTAGCAACCCGGGGGGGGGGGGCTGGGGGGCTGTAGCCGCCCCAATAATTTGCTAATAATCATTCATTTTTCAAAATCATGCAGACCTTTATTATTTAATCCATGACAAACTGCAAAGAATGAAGATATTACCCATACTTTCCTGCAATTTATCTAATATATCGTTAATTAAATACACCTTCGTCCATTTAGTAGTTAGTACTACTGAATTCTAAATTCCACATACTAAAAACGCTGTTTTCTGACAATCAGAAATCTGTCAAATCTTCCCCAAAGTCCAGGAAATGGCATTCCAGAGACTCTAAATAACGAGCGCCGTCATGGCTGCCAGACGTGTGTTTGCTATGCTCCTCTTTTTGTGTATGTGTAACATAAAACTTTTAATATTTGATAAATATAACAAGCACAGACTCGATAATAATGATAATGAAGCTATCACATATGGTGTGAACGAGTTGCATATGATTTTAGTGAAGAGACGAATAAATATTGTGGCAATGAATTTCGCTATGAATTCGAACAAAATGGTGAAAAGGCCTCATGTTAGATGGACAAACCATGGGCATCTCTGCCTCTGTTTACAAGATGTACATCCTGCTGCTGAACTAACTATCTGCATGGATATCTCTAGCAATCCTGGACCGGCAAATAGTGCAGAAACATCCTTAGACAAGAATTGTACAAACAACACATCGGCAATATTGCAAACCCATAAATCGGTATGTAATCAAAGTTGTTCATTTCGCCGTGTATACTCGAGAAGGGAGTTATGGGATCTAAAAACCATCCCAGCATGTAATAATCAAATTCTAAACCAGATTAAACAGTCAGGATTGTTTCGTTTCAGAGGAAAACGAGCCGGCCGTAGGCATATTCGCAAGAAATACGAGGTAAACAACAAGAGCTATAACATTCCTGTGATAATAAACCGTGGCCGGAAAAGTCATTATAGGCATGAACATATGCATATTAGGGAACGAAATCTAATACCAATCCCAAGAAATCCTACAATTGATCATCACTGTGTAAACTACCCGATGCCCAAATGTTTACTGATAAATATATGTGGCCTAAATAAAACCAAAAATCGAGTACGAGCACCGGTTGCCCTCGCAGCGGATATGATTGCCACAGACGTTGATATTTGCATTGTTTCGGAAACTCACTTAAAACCAGATACTCCAGACTCGGTTGTAGCGATATCAAACTACGTATTACATAGAAGAGATCGAAACTGCTTTGGTAATGATAAAAGAAAGGGCAGAGGGGTAGCGGTCTATGTTAGGAGTAACATTCATATCGAAAGTGTTGACCGATCGGACAAATACGAACCATTTCAGTCATTGTAAAACTCCCTGGGGACCATAATATTCTAATTTGTGGTGTTTACAACCCTCCAAAAACAAAGTATCAGGAGATGGATCTGTTAAACTTCTTAACAGAGAAAATGGACGATTTTTTAGACACTAACCCTGATGGTGTTGTATTGTGTGGAGGGGATTTCAATAATTTAAAGATCGAAAACTTAGTAACAAATGTAGGCTTGGATGTCATGGTGGATTTCCCAACAAGAAATAACGCTATATTAGATAATTGTTTAACAAATCGAGCCGATCTGTTTACAAAGCCATATTCCCTGCAAATGCAAATAAAAACTGACCACCTCGGTATTATTGTGCCACCAGGAACTAAACTGAAACCAATTCGAGTGAAGTGTACGATTAGAGATAGAAGAACCCATCGTATGTTAGCTCTAAAGAATGCCCTACAACAACAAAACTGGTCGAAGGTGCTTGATTCGGATGATGTTAATGAAGCAGCAAATATTCTTCACACAACAATAATTTCTCTACTCGATTCGTGCCTTCCAACAAGAACAGTTAAAATGTCTACGAGGGATCCAATTTGGTTGACACCATTGGTTAAAAGTCTTCTACAAAGAAAATATAAATTAGTAGCTAGAGGAAAGAACGACCAAGCAGAGGAAGTAAGCAAGAGGATAGCAGAGATTATAGCACAGAACAGGAGGAACATGGACGCGGGTACGTTTGGATCAGGCAGTTGGTGGAACAAAATTGACAAGTTATCGCTGAGAAAAGATACACCGAGGGTACTACTGGAGAGAAATTTTGTTGAGGATCTGAATGACTATTTCGCTGATGTATGTCATGACCCTGAGTACGAGGAACCTTTGAAAATGGACATTAGTACTGCATTTGAAACACCTCAGCTAGATTACGATCAAGTATATAACGCTCTAGGATCGATAAAACGAACGGCGACAGGGTCTGACAAAATTCCTTACTTGATATGGAAAGATTTTGCCAACATTCTATCCCCAGTTGTAATGAAAGTTTGGAATATGTCGTTGGCCACATCCATGTGGCCTAGATTATGGAAAATAGCTAATATAAATCCAATTCCAAAGGTCGACATTCCTAAGATAAAGAAAGATTTCAGAGGGATAAATATCACACCCGTAATAGCCAGAGCGTTTGAAAGGATAGTGTACGAACATTTTTCGAAAGATACATTTGAGCGTGAACTGAATAACAACCAGTTCGCTTATCGAAAAGGAGGCAGCTGTGTCGACGCTCTGCTCAAAGTGCAACATTTTAATCTGAAAGCATTGGATAACAGTCGGAATAAAACAGTACGATTGTTTGCGATGGACTTCAGTAAAGCTTTTGACAGTGTCAGACATAACATACTAGGCGAAAAGCTTAAGGCCACTGGTTTGAATCCATACCTAGTAAATTGGTATTTGGACTTTTTAAAAGATAGAAAGCAAAGGATCATGCATAATGGCATCGTATGTGAATGGAAAATGGTTAATAAAGGAACAACACAAGGTAGCGTTAGCGGTCCGCATCTCTTCAATTTATTTGTAAACGACCTTATCATAGAAGAAGAAAACAAAACTGCATTAGATAAATATGCAGATGATGCCACGTTACAAGTAGTCGTACTAAAAAACTCCCAGGATGACTCATTAACTTACTTAAATCAGTTTATGAACTGGACAGAAGAAAATTACATGTCATGTAATACATCCAAGTGCAAGGAATTAGTTTTAAACAAATCGGGCAGAGCAGAGCAATATATACCACCTAGCATTATGAACATGGAACAATGTCCCAAATTGAAACTACTGGGAGTAACATTCCAGTCCAATTGCAAATTTACAGAACATGTAAAGAACATGTTATATAGTGCAAATAAAAGTTTATACGTGATACGATCGTTACGAAAGGAAGGACTTTGTCAACGGGAGTTGAATTTGCTTTTCAACTCTCTTGTAATCTCAAAGATATCGTATGGTCTATCTGTCTATGGTTGGTCTACCCCAGATTTATATACAGTGCAGTGCTTCTTAACTAGATGTTTTAAACGAAATTATTCTAGCAAACATTACGATATATACAAACTATTAGAGAGAAGTGATCGTAACATTTGGAGAAAGATAAAAAATAACGATAATCATCCGCTTAAACATATGCTACCTATAGTCAAAGACTCATCCAGGCGTCTGCGTAACAAAAGCTCACTGTCGCCAAAATGTAACACAGAACGCTTAATAAATGAATAAAATAGTTTTAGTAATATTGATGTATTAAGTAGCTTCGGTGTTACAATTATTTAAATATGTAAATTTGATATGTATTTTTATCAAATGATTAATAAAGATCAATAAATAAACTCTAAATTTCAAAATTTCCTCGGGCCTTCAGCCCTCGCTTTCAGCCCCCCCCCCAAACGAAAAGAGCTTCCTACGGCCCTGCCCCCCCCCTACTATTAAATGCGATACCACACCAAACTTTTTGTTACCAACAAACCATCTATCATTGCTCCACACTCGGTATAGTATGGTCCCTTTTTGTTGATGCCCCACTGACGAATTCTTAAAAAATGCCCTGGTAAACACAACCTCGTTCCCAGGGTCTTTCTTAGAACGGCGCGAGGCGAAGGAAAGACCCTGGTTTCGGCTGGTCACGTGTCACCCAGATTCTGGGTGATAAATTAAAATGATACTATGGGCAGGGTGGGAGAGGAGCGTGTTTGTCGCGTTTGTAACAATATTTGCAATTTTGTGTGATGAAATTTTAATTTGCAACAAGAAATCGTGATGAGAATTGCAATTAAAAATTAATATTTATCGTGATGTGACTTTCTGCTCTATAATCTAGTGTCGAGTTACAATTCAAGCAAGTTGGATCAGATTTCAACTTACAAAGAAAGCACGCCTGGGCGGCGTGGCAATATTAAGCCTACAAGAAAATTCATATCTCTAGACCGACCAATGTGGTTTATATTTATTTAACTGTTAGTATTAAAGTATATCCTCATACTCGGACCAAAAGAATATATTTATTGATGAGATGTGGAATTGGAACGAAATAGCGAGATCTTTTGATTTCCGACATATCGCCAAGACGCCAACTGTATCGAGATTGTTGATTATAAAGGCCTTATCACAAAACTTAAACCCGTCAAAAGACTATAAAATTTCCTGCAAGACTCAACGATCATGGTATATGTCAAAGTCTAGCTGTCTGTTGAAAATCTACGGTATTACAGTAAAGTCATACATCAAAGATAAGTCAAACGACAATATATTTGTCTTACTGTTTACTACTGTGTTTATACCACATTTATAAATTTTATAAACAGCTTTCGTTTTGACACAAGCTTTAATTTTCTGCTTTATATATATTCTTAATAATACAAGTGAGATTTAAATTTTTTGCTTTGTGAAATAGAATACCGTTATTTTTTAATGGACAGCTTGTATCGTCTCTATCATATCCAGGATTGCTTGTGTGTAAATACTATAGCCTACATGTATCACTATATATGCCACTATCAAATAAATATAGAAATATAATTTTAATGAACTTATTGAACTAGAAATAAACAGATGATTGAGACACAATGAAAACTGTTAGTAGCCTTAGTAGAAGTAGAAAACTCGAAAATTTATGTGTATTCGTATGGCAGTCTGTGCGCGTCTGACACTGTAAATTTGTGATGTAGATTATAGCCTAGTTGTGTGCATATTAGGAAAACATTATCTGACCAAGAAAAAGGCTAAAGCCTTACTATAATTAATGAATACGAATTATGTACTAAATCCAAAATTTTAAAGATAAATCACTGACAGACATTTCTCTGTTTGGCTAGTATCAAATGTTTACATTTGCTGATATTGGGCTCTACTCTCTAGTCCTAGACAATACAATACAATACAATACTGTTTCTTTTAAAAATCTTATAAACAAGACGTGCAAAGCATAGCAACGTTTACAAAAAAGGACAAATCTAATGCTTGTTTTAAAAACATTAGATATGTAGAAATGGTGACCACTGAAAAGCCCATAAACGTTTGTTATAAAACCGCGCTCGAGTGTGAAGAGAGCATTGAATAATAATAACACGAGAGAGCACTGCGAGTAACGATTTGCTTGGTTTCTTGACTTGACTGTTGGTAAAAATGTAAGAATGTTCTTGTAAATTCAATGCAAATAAAATAAACAAAAATTAGCAAGTACTTTGAACTTACTGGTAATAGTTCGCAAAATTTATGTTTTTAACTGTTTGTAATTTGATACTTTCACCACACCCCCCTCGGGCAATCAATTTTGGACGAGGCACGTGACCAGCCGATACCAGGGTCTTTCCTAAAGACCCTGGGAACGAGGTTGTGGTAAACATTGAGTTTGAAACAAACTGATTTCAAATTCTCGCATGAAAATAACTTTGCTTTCCGGCCTCTTTATTTACATACTTTAATATAAAAAAAGAAAGGGTAATTAATAAAACTACACTGCAATTCTCTGCCGTCTCTTTTCACTTATAACTTTAAAAATTACACTTAAAGATTGATTCTTAGGTATAAAACAAAGTAATAATTCACATTAAACGAAAGTTCCATATGACGTCTCTTGGGAATCAAATTGGCAATGAAATAAACATTGCATGTCGATTAGCCTAAAGTTAACAAAAGACAACAACGAGTTTGGATTTGTATCGACACGCTTTTCCTGATGAGTAAACTCATATTAGGCCATTCTTTTGTACATAATTTCATGAAGGCATTCTTTTAGCAAGAATAAAAATTATCAAAAACTAAATTTGAATTTGATATGCTGTTTTATGCTAATTTTTAACATTTCAGAAATGTCAGTCAACTTTGAAACGTTAATAGGCTAATAGCTGTGTGAATATGGCACGAAAATGTAAATGTTATATATCAAAATCTAAGTTAACCCTTTGTGAATACAATGCTGTTTATTTTAGTGAAATAGCTGTAATAGGTTTTACGGTACATGAAATCAAACAGGGTATAGTTTTTTTGAGACACCCATGCAGTATATAAACCGTGTTTCTTAAAAACGAAGCAAACTCATGAAGACATATCATATTTAAATGCACGGACTGGTGTTTTAATAAATATCAATGCGTTTATATAAACCGTTTTTCTTAAAAACGAAGCAAACTCATGAAGTCATATATCATATTTAAATGCACGGACTGGTGTTTTAAATATCAATGCGTAGCCTGTACCGTGTTTCTTAAAAACGAAGCAAACTCATGAAGTCATATATCATATATAAATGCACGGACTGGTGTTTTAAATATCAATGCGTAGCCTATATATTTAAATTCACGGAGTAATGTTTTAAATATCAAAATATCAATGTATTTATATAACTAAGCGTGTTTCTTAAAAACGAAGCAAACTCATGAAGACATATATATTTAAATGCATGGACTGCGGTGTTTTAAATATCAATGCGCATATATAAACCATGTTTCTTAAAAACGAAGCAAACTCATGTAGACATATAATATTTAAATGCACGGTCTGGTGTTTTAAATGTCAGTGCGTT